GATATTCTACTTTTCTGCATTTATTCCTGTCAAGATTTTCTCTTTGGAATATCTCGAGAATCTTTTGCGCATGCTCTGGAGCAATCTGATTCCTCCTTTCGGTCAAGTCATTTCGATCATCCCAAGTTCATGTCTCAAGGATGAAAATCTATTCTCATTTAAAGGTTTGGTGAGAATATCTGCCAATTGATCATCAATGTTAATATATTCGAGCAGAATTTCCTTCTTTTCAACATGATCTCGAATGAAGTGATATTTGATATCAATATGCTTGGTTCGAGAGTGTAACACAGGATTGTGGGTTATGGCAATAGCACTTGTATTGTCACAGTTGATTCGCACTTCTCGGACCACTATACCATAATCTTTAAGTTGTTGCATCATCCAAAGGATTTGTGCACAACAACTTCCAGCTGCTATGTACTCAACTTCAGCTATGCTCGTTGCTGTAGAGTTTTGTTTCTTGCTAAACCATGACACGAGTCTTCCCCCTAGGAACTGGCAGGTTCCAAAGGTACTTTTTCGATCAATTCTACATCCAGCGAAGTCTGCATCTGAATAGCCAATTAGGTCGAAAGAACCTCCTCTTGGGTACCAAAGACTAACACTTTGGGTTCCCTTAAGGTATCTTAAGATCTTTTTAGCTGCGCTTAGATGGCTTTCTTTAGGTTTAGCCTGAAATCGTGCACATACCCCAACAACGAAAGAAATGTCAGGTCTACTCGCTGTGAGGTATAAGAGAGATCCAATAATCCCTCAATACTTCGTTTGGTTCATATCTTTTCCTTCATTATCAATTTCCATGCGTAAAGATGTGTTCATTGGAATTTTGACGGATGTCTTTCCATCAATTCCGAACATTCGGATTAGATCTTTCGTGTATTTTGCTTGATTGATGAAAATTCCATCATGGCATTGTTTAACTTGTAACCCAAGAAAGTAGTTTAGTTCTCCCATCATGCCCATTTCAAATTTACATTGCATGAGTTTTGAGAACTTATCACATAACCCTGGGTTTGTACATCTGAAAATGATATCATCAACGTATATTTGTACAAGTAGAATATGATCACCATCCTTGATACGAAAGAGGGTTTTATCAACCACCCCTTTCGTAAATCCACAATTGATAAGGAAGTATGATAGAGTATCATACCATGCTCGTGGAGCTTGTTTTAGACCATATAGCGCTTTCTTTAAGTGATATACCTTATCACTCTTTATGTCAGATATAAATCTTGGAGGTTGTTCCACATAGACTTCATCCTCAAGAAGACCATTTAGAAATGCACTCTTTACATCCATTTGAAATACTTTGTAGTTCTTATGAGCTGCATAGGCTAGGAATATTCGAATGGCTTTAAGTCTGGCAACTGGAGCGAAAGTTTCATCAAAATCTATCCCTTCTTCTTGACAATATCCTTTGGCTACCAATCGTGCCTTGTTCCTGACAATTACTCCATCTTCACTCATTTTGTTTCTGAAGACCCATTTGGTTCCAATAACATTCTGATGAGTAGGTCTTGGAACAAGTACCCAGACGTTGTTTCGTTCGAATTGATGAAGTTCTTCTTGCATAGTTGTGACCCAGTCTGGATCATTCATAGCATCATCAATCGTTTTTGGTTCCATTTGTGATAGGAAACATGCCATCATGCTTTCGTGTATTGAAGCACGAGTCCTCATTCCTTCTTGAATGTTGCCAATTACTTGGTCAGGTGGATGATCTCTTAACCATTGTAGATCCGGTTCGAAAGATGTTGATTGACCTTGAGTACTCATCTCGGGTATGTATGATAATTCAACATATATCATTGGTTCGGGTTGAGATTGTGATGTAGATAAAACTTCTTCATTCGTGACTTTAGTCTCAACTTGTACTTCAGGTTCGATAGATTTACCTCCTTGATATTTAGTGTAATCATCTTCATGGTCCGAATCTTCTTCTTCTATTTGACTTGGTCCAGCTTGTATGCTCAGATTTTTGAGTGATACAACTTCTTATGCAAGCTTTTGAACATTTTCGTCAAATTTGACATGGATAGATTCTTCAATAACCATGGTTCTTTTGTTTAGAATCCTGAATGCTTTACTTGTTGAAGAATATCCCATAAATAGTCCTTCATCGGCTCTTTCATCAAATGCTCTTAAATGATTCTTCCCGTTGTTGTGAATGAAACACCTGCATCCAAAGATGTGAAAGTAACTAACAACAGGTTTCTTACCTTTCCATAATTCATATGGGGTCTTGTTGTGAGCTTTGTTGATGAGAGATCAGTTCTGAGTGTAGCATGCGGTGTTGATGGCTTCGGTCCAGAAGCGTTTGGGAAGTCCTGAATGTGCTATCATTGTTCGTGCGGCTTCCTTCAAAGTCCTGTTTCTTCTTTCGGCTACCCCATTCTGCTGAGGAGTTTGTGCGGCCAAAAGTTGATGAAAGAGTCCATTTTGTCCGCAGAAGTCTTTGATGACTTTATTTACGAACTCTGTCCCTTGATCTGACCTGATTCTCACTATACTGAGACCCTTTTCGGTTTGTAGTTGCCTTAGCAAATCTGGCAATACTTTCGCAGTCTCATTCTTCTTTCTTAGGAATTGTGTATAGGTATATCTCGAGTGGTCGTCTACAACAACAAGAGAATACTTTCGTCCACTCAGGCTTGGAAGATCAATTGGGCCAAATAGATCCATATGTAGTAGACTTAAGGGACGAGAATTGATGTATGCTGATTTTGACTTAAAGGATGTTTTAATCTGCTTTCCTTTTTGACATGCGTCACAAATTCTGTCTTTAACATAATTTACTTTCGGTAAACCTTCCACAAGATCTTTCTTTGATAGCTTGTTGATGGTCTTGAGATTTAGATGACTCATCTTGTTGTGCCATTCCAGGCTCAAATCTGCATTACTAGTAGCAACAGGACAAACATTAGCTTTAGAAAGTTCCCAAGCGACCACGTACATGTTTTTCTTTCGTTTTGCCGTGATAACGATGTCACCATCTTCAGTGCTGATGACTTTGCATTTGTCTTTGGAGAATTCTACTTTGTAGCCTTTGTCACAAAATTGACTCGTGCTTAGCAGATTGAACTTGAGTCCTTCAACGTGTGAGACACCTTGAATGGTCACTCCATTTCTGCTGATGTCTCCGATTCATTTCGTCTTTCCACTTGATTCTCCTCCAAATATAACCTTTGGACCATCAACTTCTTTGTAATTGCTCAAGATTGTTTTATCTCCGGTCATATGTCTTGAGCATCCACTGTCGACATACCATATGACCTGTTTTTCCTGCAAGAGAGTTATGCAGTTTTAGGTACCCCTTCGGTTTCGGGTCCTTGAGGGTTAGTTGTCAATTTCGGGATCCATATGAACCTAGAGTTAACATGACTCATCCTTGGTCCTTTGTACCCATTAAAAACTTGATAATCATAATAAATTTTGGAAAATTTTTTGGCTTTGTATCGACTTTGAAAATAGTCATCTGGTGGATTACGATATTGTTTAGAATAATTGGTTCGTTTATGTAGATGAATTTTCTCAAATTGTGCTTTTGATAATGGTTCAGGATAAACAAGCCAATCTTCTTCGGATGGTCCACTCCGTTCGTTGCCTGTCATTGGTCTTCTAAGTGACCTCTTGGCATGTCTGTTTCGTTCTTCTTTCGGACTTCCTCGTAGAGGATCCTTTCGTGGATACTTAGAACGATTTTGCCTCTGATTAACATTTGGTTTCACCCTCGTTTGGTTATTTCTTGTAGGCTGACCTTTTCGATGATATAGACTAGGTCTATTATCCTTTGGTCCATTCCTTTTGACATTAGCATTATGCCTAGGATTGCCTTTCAAGTAATTTCCATTTCGGGGTTCCACAATTCGTTGTACAGCCTTTCATTTCACTTGGCTTGTTGATTGTGGTTGATTATGATTGTTAATCTCAATCATTGGCTCAGACATTTGGGTAGGGCCTTGAACAAACGCAGACTTGAAACTTTCGTGTGGGTAAACGTCTGTGGGTTTGATGCATTCACCAATCGATCCATTAAGTTGGATGAATTGTTAAACGAATCAAGAATCTCACGCAATTGTTGCTCCTGCAACTCTCTTTCTGTACACTGCTCTTTAAGAAGAAGAACTTGCTTTTCGAGCTGATATTTTGCGATGGCTAGCTTAATATTATCAATTCTGACTCGCCTTAGCTCATCGTAGCTGATCAATAGTCGAGAGTTTTCTTCTTTTAATTTAGAGTATGTGTTTTTGATTACTTTGAAATCCATCATCATATCATAGATAGTTTCATTTGGATTTCCTTCACCATCTGAACTAGGTTCCATTTGATTTGACGAAGAGGTTTGAGAATTTACCTCGTCATCATAAGCCATTAAGCATAGGTCACTTGTTCCTTCTTCCTGATTGAATAGGCATAGAAGACCTTTTTCTTCTTCTGAACTATCACTTTCTGAGCTTGAGCTTGAGGTGTTTGTTTCGGGTTGAGCTTCCTCAGCTGGTTCATTGACTACCATTGCCTTTCTCCTTCTCTCGTGTCGAGAGCTTGATGTTTCTGGTTTTTCACTTCGCTTGCTGAATTCGACTGTTTCTTTAGGTGAACTTTTGCTAGCATTTTGATCCTGATGCTTGCTAATTATTGGATGAGGACAATTTACCTTGAAATGTCCTGACTTTCGACAATTATAACATAGCATCTACGAATCCATTGTTTCTTGTTTTGACGATAGAGGAGACCTTTCGTACTGCCTTCGGTTCGAAGATCTTTGATAGTCTTGGAAGTTATTATTCCTCATGAACCTTTTCATTTTCGTACAAACAAAGCATATTGTTCATCAGATAAAAATTCACAAGGGTTAGAGTTCGACCTGTTTGATGTTGATTAGCCACCAAAGCTATATTTCTTGTTTCGGGTTCTTTAGATTCTTTGGGTTCGTGCTCGAACTCATATGCTTTGAGATCGCTGAAGATCTTACTTGAGCTAGTTGTCTTCATATCTCAGTGATCTCTCATGGCTGTTACTTTCATCTCCCATGATTTTGGAAGCCCTCTAAGAATCTTTAAATTCTTTTCCTTTTTAGTTGGCTCCTTTCCAAGATCCGAAAGATCACCCATGAGTTTTGTGAATCTGAGCTCCATATCGGTGATGGCTTCATTTGGCATCATTTTGAAGTCTTCAAACTTTTTCATGGCCACAGTGAGTTTGTTGTCCTTCTCCTGTTCGTCTCCTTCACCTAAACTCATGAGAGTGTCCCAGATTTGTTTTGTTGTGGTGCATTTCTGTACTCTCAGGAACAGCGAATCATATAGAGACTTATAGAGGATGTCTCGTGCAACATTGTTGAGGTTTGCTCTAGTTTTCTCATCTGAAGTGAGTTGCGATTTCGGCTTGGGTATCAAGGCTTTTGGATCAGCTCCTTGAGCAGCTGCCTCAGTTTTTACCATCATCACGACAATAGGACCGGTGCTTATCACGTCCCACATTTCATCATGAATAGCCGAGAGATGTGCTTGCATTCTCACTTTCCAGTCATCAAACTTTGAGAGGTTAAAGGCAAGAGGCCTAGAACGATTAGAACGTCCTCTTTCCATTTCTTTTTAGAAAATTTGTGCAAAGATGAAAAAAAAAAATTAACTTATGCAAAAGGGATCTACCAGGCAGTATAACGAAACGTTTATCGTACGGGGTAACCGCTCTGGTACCACTTGTTGGTCCCGATAGGGTCAAAGAGAGTCTAGAGGGGGGGGGGGGGGGGGGAATAGACTCTAATCGATTCTTTTTGAATAATCTCCTTTCGGAGATATATGCAGCGGAGATAGTGATTTGTTTTAAATATTCTTTGCAAACTTTCGTGTTAGTGAAAACTTAACGTTTGGTCGATATGATATGATATGCAAGCACGAAAGTAAAAGCGATAAGTAAAGAGAGATGGATAGAGAGATTTTTATAGTGGTTCGGCCAACTGTACCCACTCCACTCTTCTTTCACAACTTGTGAAAAGGGTTTGCACTATCACTCCTAGTACAAACTACTTCAAGCTGGCTTCCTTGATCGCTAAGTCGGACAGCCACTTGAAAGGTTTTTCAACTCCTCGAGTTTACTCCGCCTCTATCAACTTCTTCCTAAGTTGAGATGTTGGAAAGATTATACGATGTTTCTCCAACATGTTGAAGCTTGTCTTGACGTCTGGATAGATCTTCACTTGAGAAAATTACAAGACTGCTTCAAGTTGTGAAGTATGAAGATGAATATGCCTTTGAAAAACTTCACAACTAACACTGGTTATGAAAAGCTTTTGGAGATGAAACTGTTTGAAGAGCTTTTCTTAAGATTGCAAGAGTGAGTTAACCAGCACCTTCTTCAATGGTGAAGAGAGGTATTTATAGGTGGAAAAATCCATCCGTTGGAGGGAGATGAAAATTTCAAACCTAATAACCAGTATGTATTACTCAGTGGGCAAAGGACATTTAATGCACTTGTACTGTATAGCCATTGGAGTCGAAAGCATTATGGCTTTTGTTCTTGATCTCTGACAAGATGGTACAAGTCTATTAATGCTCATTGTCTTTAGTGAAGATCATTCCTAGGACACTTTTTGTCCGAATGATTTGCCCATCTAAGTGATAGACAACATTCTCATTGTTCCTTTTAATGAGTGTTATCTTTCTACAAGTCTGTCATTGACTTGTTCACTTAGGAATGAGGATCGAAAGATTGTCCTTATCTTTCGTCCTTCCTTCTTAGACGAAAGTTCCTATTCTAAAAGCAATCTGAGACTTGCTTAATCCTTCTTTCGTCTGGAAGCGTCTTTTGGTCATCTTGTTTTCTTCAAGTCTTCATGTAGACCTATTATGCTAGTCTCGTGCATGATTTAACATCTCATCCCTTTGTCATACGAGACTTATCTTAACAAACGAAAAATAAGAGTCTACATTCAGTTTGGTATCATCAAAATCTAAATACATTTGTTCCTAACAGGAAATATTTTAAAAATTATTAAGTTTCACTTTATTCATGCAACATATTCACATATTTCATATATAAAGCCATAAAGGCATTAAAAGTAATTTAATTCGATATGGTCATGAACTTCTAAATTGTCAAAATTGAGCAGTGAATTTTGACCATGCATGTGAAAATTAAAATCATATCTATTACATGTAAGCTTCCATCATACTTAGCCTTCGTCTTCAATTCTTGAAGTCTTTGAGATCTTTGTGTATATACATTTCCTATCTACCAGAAATAAGGTACATATTCCGGGAAGAGATTTACATTACAATAATAGATAAGAGGCACGCAAGCCCCAATTTCAATTAATCGCAAAAAAACTGTGCAAAACTCAAAATAAATCACATTCATTTAAGGGTCCCAACTGTTGGGTAATAAGGTGGAAAACCCCAAAAATAATAATCCTATGAAAAGATTATTATTATGTGGAAAAAGTAGAAAATTGGGTAGGAAAAGGTGGATGATTTTGATAGTGGTTAGCACGAGTTTGAACAAATTGATCTTTTCTTTAAAACTTATTTGCTACCTCCCACAAGTGCTTGGAGCGTTTTAGCCTAGGTTTCTCAGGATAAAACGTGCTACGATTCAGTGTTTGAGCACTCAAACAAAGAATCCGGCGAACAAAGCAAAGCTAAGAACACAATAGGCATCTCTGTGTTGAAAATCTACTGCTACTAAAAATTCTGGAATTCTAAATTGGAATCAAACCGGTAGATCAGGGCGAATATAATTCGGAAGTTGGCATAACATTATTATTGTCCTCCAAATTAGAACTTTGAATGGTAAAGCTAAAATTTTCATTTTCTTGACATGGTTCATCTCCTATGCAATACCATGTATAATTTAGTTTGGTTGATTAGGTAACAATTTCTCAAAATAAAAATTCAATTAGTTTGATTCAAATAGTAATAATTTTTGTACAAGAAGGTTGTATCAAATATATAATATAAAAAATGTTATACATAATAAAATATTAATTAATTTGACCAATTAATTAAAACAATCAAAGTATTATTTTAAATGGGAAAATGGTCAAATAGGCCCTCGAACTTTAGCTTAAAAGTCAATTAGGCCCCTAAACTTTTTAAAGGTTCAATTACACCCATCAACAATTCATTTAAGTGCAATGAAGCCCAAAAACAAATTAATGACCTGCTATCACAGGTCATTAGGGTTCAGGCCACCTTCCGGCGAATTTTCCGGCAAAAAAAAAAAAAAAAAAAAAGTGACCGGTGAAATTTTTGACAAAAGAAGTGACTGGCGAAATTTTCGGCAAATCTGGGTCGGTTGCTGGTCACCTTTTTTTTGTCAGAAAATTCGCCAAAAAGTGGCCTGAACCCTAATGACCTGTGATAGCAGGTCATTAACTTGTTTTTGGGCTTCATTGCATCTAAATGAATTGTTGATGGATGTAATTGAACCTTTAAAAAGTTTAGAGGCCTAATTGACTTTTAAGGTAAAGTTCGAGGGCTTGTTTGACGGCAAATTATATTATGCACCGCGGTGCATAATCGATTATGCACCGCGCGTCTTTTTTTTTTTTTTAAATGAAAATAAATAGTGTTTGTTTCCGCCGTTTCGCACCCTTTTGCAAAAATTAACTCTGTTATTCAGTGTCATTTTGTATACACTGCAGTTTCAGTTCAACACAACTACAGTTTCATTTCGATATAACTATAGTTTCATTCGATATTTATAGACTCAAATATGTGAAAATATTATTTAATTTTATTTTATATACACTATAGTTTCATTAAAACACAACTACATGATCATTTTGATATAATTACAGCTTCATTGTACAATATACACTCAAATATGTGAAATGTTATTCAATTTCATTTTATATACACTACAGTTTCATTTCACTATAACTACAGTATCATTTTGATATAACTGCAGTGTCGGTTTAGATATACTGTAGTGTCAGTTGATGTTTAATACACCAAACAAGCGGACTCCGTTAACTCTAACGGCGGGCCGTTTCTTTACTTAAATAAAACGACGTCGTTTTGACAGTGTCGGTTTAAACACACTGTAATATCTAGCGCGCGGTGCATAATCGATTATGCACCGCGGTGCATAATATAACGACTCTTGTTTGACCCTTTTCCCATTTTAAATTAATCAAAGTATTGAACAAATTTAGTCTTTTTATTATTTATGTACATTACAAAAAAAAAAAAAAAAACTAATTATTTAAAATATTAAATATTCGTGATTGTTATCTATTCTTTCTTTAGTAATTATTTATTAAATTTGGAAAGTAAATGATAAAAAGATATTAGCCTCTTCTACGGTCCTGATTTTTTGTTTTCATTACCCTAGAGTCTTTTTGTTTATGTGTCTAAATTTGTTAAGTTTATTAGTGAAAGGATATTTTAGTATTCCGTTAACCCTACATCAACCACAAATCAATATTAGAATCCTTAGTTGATGATGTCTCCATTCGGCGTTACTCCCCTTTTGTCTCTCTAGCTTTGACCTGTTCTCCATTCGTGTATATAATCCAGAACATACAATCGACGGTGTATTCGTAGCTTTTTTCCGGCAGAGCAATGGCGAGTGGGTATGATGGTCGACGGTCTGAGAGGCGTGCGTCTGGGCCACCAACCGAACATGCAACGCCCTTTTCTGGAAGTGTCTGCTAGTCGATGGGTGAAGAGGCGTGCATCGAATCTGGGCAGCCTTCCGATCAATCGAGCCTTTCTTCTCAGTCCTCTTTCGCCTTTTGGTGTTTTTTTTGTTGTTTTGGTTAACATTCAGTGGGAATTGGTGGATTTGGTGGTTGTATCTGTGTATGACCGTTGTTTCGTATCGTCGGCCATTGTGGCTGTTATTGCATGCTTCCCTTCAAATCTCTGTGGGAGCTACTACTAGCAGCAGAGATTGTCCATAAATTAATTACTCCGTAATTTATTAATTTATTTTGTAGTAGGGTAATTATAACGCAATCAGCCTGTCTTCTTGCACAAAGGATTTCCATCAAATAAGATTCCAAACAATCCCTCCCTCCATCCACAACCAACACACGCCACTCTTTTGTTGCATCTATAAAGAGTTAATTCCAGCAATGGTCTTCGGATTATTGCGATTTTCAAAAATTAGTCATCGTCTTTTAATTTGGACAAAATAGGCCCTTGACTATCAAAAGTGTTCCAGCAATGGTCCTTCTGTTAAGTAGCCGTTTGGTTGGCGTTAAGTAGAGGGGTATTCAAGTCATTTCCTTTATTGCTTTCTCAATTTCAGGCTTCTAACACATTAATTTCATTTCAAGCTGGCCACACTCAGCCTTGACAGTCGACTCGTAGCCGAGGCTACTGCCCTCCCTACCGGCGCACAGATGCGCGATGTACTCTCCAAATTGAACAAATGAATTGGCAGATTTGGTAATTGAAACCATACCAACGTCAATGGTGCGTCTCTGTCCGAGCTCCATTCCGGAGTCTATCTTGAGAACCAGAGTCGACAACCTTCGATCGTTGCTTGGCCTCTCAACCAAATCCTCCTGCAATTGCCTTCCAAATCAAATCGCAAGAGAATGCTCCTGCGATCCAGTGATCCTATTTGAACCTCCCCT